GGTGTGCAGCTAGATGACTCAGACACCTCCCTGAGCATCAAGTAGGCTGCAGCCTAGCTTCAGCAGCAGCACGGCACCACCAAAGAGTTGTGCTGCAGCAGAGATGCAGTTTGTCAGGCACATGGCCAGGCATGCCTGCCAGCCACTGCTTCCACCTCAGATGTCTGCAGATCTGCACCCGCATGCTGGTGGGCAAAGGCTTTTCTCCCCCCATGCCTTGAAGAAGGTTGGGTTCCAGCACCTGACGCCAAGAGCTCTGTCTAGCCTGGTGCAGGAGAGATTGCCCCCTGTCGCCGGTTGATCCTCCTGTGGCACCTCTGCTCTTGCCTTGACCACTTGCTGTTAGGCAATGAGAGGGTGTCTGAGGAGATGCTCTTGTCCCCAGCCTTCTGAACAGATGGCCCACTCAACTTCTGCTAGCTCCTGGCTCCTGGAGCTGCAAGATGGGCTCAGCAGAAGGTTCCTCCTCCTCCACTGACATTGGAAAAGGTCCTCTCACATACAGTTGGGTTTGCAGGGCTCACAGCTGGTGGCAGATGATGACCTGCTACCAGAGGAAGAAGAGGGCAGGATGCAGGAGACAGAAAGGAGAGAGAAAGCCCTGTGCAGCAGCCTGCTGACAAGAGAGGCAACGTTCTCCCCTGTGCAGAAGCTGGCAATAGCTGTGATCTTGTAGCCAGCATAGTCATTGATTTTCACCCTGCCTTCCTCTCACGTGGCCTGGCACAGCCTGAGTGGCCATTTTGCCACAGGCTCAGACATTTCCCCTCGCAGCTGCAGCTGCTCAGGGACCAAGCGAGAGGTACTGCTGATAAGCTCTGTTGTGCTTGCTGAGGGCTGGGCAATCCTGTGCCTTGGGCACATCAGACATGCAGAAGACACTGCTCAGCAGGCAGTGGCAATTACTCCCACACATTTTCTCCACAGTTTGGGGAGCCTTATCCCATGCAGTGGAAGAAGATAGTGCCGGGAGGCTTGCAACAGAGACAGCTGTTAGCACCCGGGCACTGACCACTCAAACTCTTGTTGAGAGTCCATTCCCACTGGCAGTTTCAACCTGTGCACAGGTGCCAATAAATTGTTCACGTGAACTAACGCTTGAGGGTCCTTGAGTATCTGTGCAGGACTTTGTTGAGGACACATTGCATCGGGTGCTGTGTGCACTGCTGCCGCAGAACTGAGGAGCATTTTCCAGAAATAGAATAACAGACTGGTTGAGGTTGGAAGGGACCTCTGGAGGCCACCTGGTCCAACCCCTCTGCCCAAGCAAGGCCGCCTAGAACAGGCTGCTCAAGTCCACGCCTAAGACCTGATGAACACATGCCTGTTGGTCTCACTTCAGTGCCTGGTGAAATTACAGAGAAGATTATTCTGGGAGTTACTGAAAACACGCTTGAGAGACAATGCAGTCATTGAGCAGAGCCAACACAGATTCATGAGGGAAAAGTCCTGTTTAATTACCTGAATTTCCTTGTATGACAAGGTCACCCACCTAGCTGACCAAAGGAAGACAGTGGATGTAGTCTTTTTTGCATTGCAGCAAAGCTTTCAGGACTCCCAGACTCCCTCCAAACGCCCCAGAGCCAGCAGGCTGGGAGCGGGCAAGAGATTGGGAGGAGACATCACCTGGGAAGCTGACCTAAACCCACCAAAGTGATATTGCACAGCATGTGGTGTCACCCTGCAACAAAAGGTGGGGAAGGGGAAGGGGTGAGGTTGGAGGTGTCTGTGCATGCAGACGTCTGTCCTCCTAAACCACCACTATATGTATTGAGACCCTGCTTCCCAGGATGGGCCCGAGCATTGCTCATTGATGGGAATTAGAGAATAATTGTTTTTTCTCCTTCCCTTGTTGCTTCCATGTGGCCTTAGCTTGTTTTCTTCTTCTTCCTTTTCACTTTAATTAAAATATCCATCTCTTTCCCCCCCTCCCCACTTTTTTTCCCCCCCTTTCCATCATACTCTCTTTCTGTGAGAAGGGGGAGTGAGAGAGCAGCTGAACTGGAGTTCAGCTGCCCGGCGGGGTAAAAACACCACAATTAGTTAGGCCGCAGCATTTGAGTCCATGTGTTACCAAGAGTGAATCAGATGTTATTGGTTATTTTGTTCAACACCACTTGCACTCCAGTCAAGATTTCAAATTTTATGCCGGAAGTTTGTTCTTCTATGAACCTAGACATGAGTTCAGTATGGTAATCTGAAAATAGAAAGTAAGATGAAACTAAGGAGATAAAAGGGGAAAAGCGATCTAATTTTCCTTCTAATCTTTTCTATTATTTTTTTTTAACTCCTCACTAAGTCTAGCATCATCCTAACAATCAGAGGAGGTACAATTTTAGGGAAAAAATTAAAAGTAGGCTGAGATAAAAAAAAAGTCCCAAAACTCAATGATCTTCTCCTTCTACCTCCCTCCCCCGCAACGTTAGCAATTGAAGATAAACTGTTCAGTAAAGACTTTCTCCATAAATACAACAGAGATTTAATCAACATAATTATCATTACTGGACTAAGTACAAATTCAAGTATATAAGAATTCTTCAGATTCTTCTATTTCCTCTCTTAATGACATTACCGTCACTCCCTCTTAACAACTAACTCTCTTCAAGCCTGTGTAGGTCTAATTCTGTTTGACCATTGTTCTCCCTGAACAGGGTTTTGTTCAAGTGCATGAAATCCAGTTTCAGTTCTGCTAACCAAGGCATCCTTCCCCTGTCATGCCCTGCCCCTATTCTGGAGAGGGTTGAAGATAAAATCGTTCTAGTGTTATGGACTTCAAATAAAGCGCAATGCCTTCAGTGGCTTGCTTTACCTTGAATCGCTGATACCCATTCCAAAGCAATTTCTGGAAGTCTTTACACATCTTCAAATTGTCATATCCCGTTTTGTCACGGAACAATTTCCTAGTTGTGACAACCTTGTTTGCACTAGAGTGCAAACCTGCAAAAGCTAATCTCAAAATAATGCCATTTTCTAGGCTAACAAAGTGTTAATGAATCCGATTTTTCTAAATGTGCATCTCTTAAAACTACAGGAATCATCAAGTTCTATTCTGATCTTCCCTAATGCAATGGAGATGAACTTTTTCAGGTCAGTTTCAGATTGGAGAGAAGAAAAAACAACTGCATAGCACTTACCTTTTAAGGTTTAGTGACAAAATCAATCTTGTAACTGTTATGAAAATAGTCAAAACCTTAAAATGGCAACTAGAGGATGGTGACCAATTTGGTAACACTTAAAAAGGATGCTCAGAAAACTGTAAGCACAGAACTGTGGAAAATCAAGCCCTTTAAGATTGGCCACCTTAGATATCCATAAGTGACTAAGCTCTACGTGTTAATCTTCAAAAGCTTGTAGTTAGGTTGTATTTTATTCTCTACTCATTTAAATTAAAGCATTACCAAGATTCAGTAGATAAACTTCAATTCTTTTCCCATTCCTGCTACAAATAAATGTTATTACTTCCGAATGAGCCACAACAATATCAGTCCTTTTATAACGATGAACAAACCCCACCCTGCCACGGGCAGGGACACCTCCCAGCAGACCAGGCTGCCCAAAGCCCCATCCAGCCTGGCCTTGAGCACCTCCAGGGATGGGGCACCCACAGCTTCTCTGGGCAGCCTGTGCCAGGGCCTCACTGCCCTCACGGTAAAGAATTTCCTCCTCATATCTAATCTAATTGTACCCTCTTTTATTTTAAAACCATTACCCAAGAAAGTTCTGTCACTGCACTCCCTGACAGAGTCCCTCCCCAGCTTTCCTGCAGGCCCCCTTTAGGCACTGTAAGGTCACTGTAAGGTCTCCCCAGAGCCTTCTGTTCTTCAGGCTGAACAACCTCAGCTGCCTCAGCGTGTTTTCACAGGAGAGGTGCTCCAGCCCCTTCGTCCATCCATCCTTGGGGCCCTCCTCTGGACTCATTGTCATACTTGTGTGTCCTTCTTGTGCTGGGGGCCCCAGAGCTGAGCACAGGGCTCCAGGTGGAATCTCACAAGAGCAGAGAAGAGGGAGACAATCATCTCCCTCACCCTGCTGCCCACTCTGCTTTTGATGCAGCCCAGGATACAGCTGCCTTTCTGTGCCTCAAACCCACCCTGCTGGCTCATGCTGAGCTTCTCATCAAACCAGCAGCCCCAGGGCCTTCTCCTCAGGGCTGCTCTCAATCCATTCTTCACCCAGGGCCCAGGCGCAGGGCCTTGCACTTGGTCTTGTTGAACTCCATCAGGTTCTCACAGGTGCACCTCTTGAGCCGGGTCCCTCTAAATGGCATCCCTTCCCTCCAGCATGTCGACCACACCACTCAGCTTGGGCTCACTGGCAAACTTGCTGCGGGTGCACTTGACCCCACTGCCCATGACACTAACAAAGACATGAAAAAGCAGTGGTCCCAAGACTGGTCCCTGAGGAACACCGCTCATGACTGTTCTGCACTTGGACATTGACTGCAATTCTTCAAGTGCAACCATCCAGCCAGTTCCTTATCCACCGAGTGGTCCAACATTTCTAGAAATATCAATATTTTAAATACATATCTTTTCATCAGTTCTGGACTCTGCTCTCTTGCTTTTCAGGGATGCCTCTCCAAAGCACTTGATTTCTCAGCACCTTCATGAATGTTAGCTCAGAAATTTAAGCACAGGTTGTTACTGCCTGGCAATGTAGGGCCTTTCCCTTGTAAGCATTCATCCTACTATGAAGGTGACATTCCCTTTCTGAGTCTTCTCTAATTAAAATGCTGTTATTTAATTAGGCTTTCTCAACTTGCCCTCAGAAGCCATCATTAGGAAGAGCATCCTCGGTGCATGCAGCATGCCAACATTACCCAGTCTTTTACTCTCTACAGCTAAGTACCTAGAGCTTGACTGTTACAGAAAACCATCCCATTGATGTCAGAACAGTTGCTTGTCCTTCCTTCTGAGGAAAGAAAAGCAAACTCAATCTGAGGTTACACCATAAAAATGTATATAATAATAATAATAAATGGACACAGGAGAACTGTAAAAGGTTTATTATGCAAACAACTATTTTCAGAACAATCAGCCTATGAACTGTGAACAACTCTGAACAACTCTGAACCTGGAAGTGGGTGCCGCTCTCCCTGCTATCCCTAGTGGGTCCTGCGCTAGGGTGCCGGCCCATCGCCTGCAGCTGTCCTGTCTGAGCCGCAGGTGCAAGTTGGGCAGTGTGGGGGTGCTGAGGGCTGCCAGTCGGGTGGATTTGGCATGGCCGTGGCAGAGGCTGCTGCCAGCCCGGGACTTGCAAGTGGACGCAAGGGAGGTCTGGCAGCCCCGGGAAAGCGCGCAGCTGCCGCGTTTCGGTGCATAGGTGGCAAGGCGGGTCCCATGAGAGGCAGAAAGTGGTAGCGTGTGGGAGTAGGAGAGGCAGGTGGGCTCTGGCTGCTGCGTGCTGGCAGCTGGGGGGAGGCCGGAGGCTGTTGATTGTCCCTGCCTGCTGCCTCTGCAGCGGGGCCTGGCAGGGAGGGAGCATCCGTGCATGAGGCTGGATGGGCACCGCTAGCCTGGGGGGGGGCTTTTGCCCGGCGCTTTGGGAGAGGGGACCCTGGGGGGGCTGCTGTCTGCGTGTCTTCTTCTGCAGCTTTTTCCATCCCGTCCTTCTCCTGCCCAGCATCTGCTCCCCGCCCATGCTGGATGCCTGAGCTGCTGCTGCTGGGGCACTTTGCATCCAGATCCGCCTGTGTTGCAGGGGCAGCCGTGGCTTTCCTCTTCAGGGCGGCACGGCGATTGCAGTTGATGAGCAGGTGGGGAGAATACCTCTTGAAGTTGGGGTTGTGGTAGAGGAGTAACTAAAAAAATGCAAAGGAGGAGAGTTAGTTGCTACCATTTCCCAAAAATAATAAAAAATCGTTGATTGAGAAACCCAGCTACCATGACTCGACAGATGCTTCTGCGTAGCATTAACATAGAGGTAAAGGTAAGACTACCCTGCTAATGTGCATCCGACAGTGGAAACAAGAATTCAGATGTTGCACAGCAAGAGATCTTGCAACTATATTAAACTGAGTAGACTCCTCATAGCCCAATTTATTTATATTTCCATTCCATTAATTTAAACTCATTGAGTATAACCCAAATATAGTGTATCCACATTTCTACCACTCATCAATGCCACCTGACAAATACCTCGACACCAGCCTGAGAAAGACATTAAGTTTAGAACATTTACTGTCATCCTCACCTCCTCTATTGCCAAGGCCTACTTTATTTAACCCCCCCTATCTCCCACTAGAATATCGTGAGTGTTGGTTCATGTGTGGAGCAAGTGATGTACCTTCCTATGAGCAGAAAACGCATCTTCTTCTGCCAGGAATTCGGGAAGCGAGGCAGATCTTTGGAAGTCCCATTTCATTTTGGTGAATCCGTACAGGTTAAGTTGACGAATGAAACTCTTCATATTGCCAGTCTCAAAAATTTTCTGCGGCCCGGTCCTCCCCAGCACTTCTACTTTAAACATTTCCTCATCGATCACAATACAGTTTCCACAGCGACCCCACCAAATGGTCTTAAACTCGTCGCTTTCAACTAGGTACCACAGTTTCTTTGGGAAACTGAGGAAGGAGAAGACATTGGCTTTGACAGCACGCTCCTCAGAAGAACTACCGCGTCTGCTCTCACGGTTATCAGTGGAGGCTGGGCAATCCTTTCCTCCCTCCGTTGATGCTGCAGCACCATCAGAAGCTGCTCCTCCATCCTGTCCCGGAGGCTCAGCAGAAGGGGACTCTGAGGATTCAACCGGCTTGTCTGGAGCAGCAACGGGTGAAGTTTCTGCTGGAAGCGGCTCCCTTTTAATTTCTTTTGTCTCATCTTCACTGAAACTTCCGCCTGAAGCCATTTCAGTGGGCAGCTCAGTCTTCGTCCTGCCAGTCAGCAAGTGAGACCCAGCTGGTCTGTCTGGGCGTTCTGGTGGGAGATGCTTGAACATCACCGTGACACCCGCAGTCACCACAGTGACATCACAGTGGAACGGCCAGAGCAGATGTTGCTGCCCAGCACTTGTTGCTGGTGCTGTACCACGGGTGTTTCCACTCCAAAGAAGCACATAAAGCTGTGTTGAAAGGGGATGGCTTCTTCCCTAGACCTTGCTTCCCCTTCCCCGTGTGATAGCTCCCTTCTGGCCTCCTTGATGTCCCTCTACGTTTTCCAGCTGGGGAGGGAAATCAGTTGCCCGAGCAATGTGAACTAAAGAATGTAGCAATCTCTTCCTAGTTTCCTGCCACTCCTTGAAAATGCTCTGTGATTTCCACAGCACCGCTTCTGCAAGGGAATAGCTGTGTACCCAGGCGATGCTCCTCAAGGTCAGCAGTCTCCCAGAGGCTGCTCTGCAGGTCCAACCAGAATAAAACCTATACAGATTTTGCTGATGACATAACAGAGTAGATGTACAAGCCCTTGTTTCTTTGATTGGCTTCCTAGGCTTTGATTTGATATTTTAGCAGTGTGGAAAGCAACTCAACAAAACCAGTGACGTTCTCCAAGCCTTTTAAATCACACCCCTCTCTACAGGGTCAAATGGGTCCCTTTTTGGAAAGGAAAGGTTCGATGTCGAGGTAGTGTCTGGATGCACTATGGATGGAATAAATCCTAAGTTTGCAAATCATACTAACTATGAGGAGATGTGAGCTCCCTTGTGTATAGACAGGCCTTGTGGCGAGATCTTGACAAGTCCGAGTGCCAGGCAATCACTGACGTATGAAGTTTAACAGGGACAAGCGACAGATTCTTCACCTACGTGTAGGTTGGGGCAACATTGCCTATGCATACAGAGTGGGGGATGAGCAGCCCTGCAGCAAGGGATCTGGGCACTGTGGTCAGTGGCAAGTTGAATAGGTATCAACAGCGTACCCTGCGGCCAGGAGGGCCACCCATACCCTGGGCTGCATCAGGCACGGCATTCCTAGCCAGCTGAGGGAAAGGATTGTCCTGCTCTGCTCTGCTCTGCTCTGCACTGATGTGGCTTCACCTCAAGCACTGTGTGCAGTTTTGGGTGCCACAAAATAAGAAGTACTGTTAGAGAGCTGTTAGAGAGTGTCCAAAGGAAGCTAGGGAAATGGTAAATAGAAGGTCTAGAGGGCAAAACGTGTGAGGAGCGGCTGAGCTCCCCTGGTTTGCTCAGCCCCGACAGGAGCAGGCTGAGGGGAGGCCTCATGGCAGCCTGCAGCTCCCTCAGGAGGGGAGCGGAGGGGCAGGCGCTGAGCTCTGCTCTCTGGGGACAGCGACAGGACCCGAGGGGACGGCATGGAGCTGGGGCAGGGCAGGGTCAGGCTGGGGGTTAGGGAAAGGGTCTGCATCCAGAGGGTGCTCGGGCACTGGGACAGGCTCCCCAGGGCAGTGGTCACAGCACTGAGCCTACGGAGTACAAGAAGCGTTTGGACAATGCTCTCAGACACGTGGACTGATTTTTGGGTGGTCCTGTGTGGAGCCAGGGGTTGGACTTGATGATCCTTGTGGGTCCTTCCAACTCAGGATGTTCTGTGATCCTATGATTCTATGTTTCTGCATGCTTTTTGCAACTTCTGTGCTAGCTCAGGGCAGTATTTACCATTTCTCGCCCAGCATCAAATATGCAGCTTATCCTCAGGAGAAAGCACAAAATCAAATTGTTCCTATATGAAAATTAACAAGGGCTCCATGGGGCTCCCTCCCTGCAGCTCATGCCTTGACCTAGATACGTGCTATATGCAGACTGGTGAGTGCCTGATGGTGGGCATCTCCTAGGCAAGAAGTGCAGCTTCCAGCAGTGGATGTCTAGGCTGATGGGTGTTGCTTGGCAGGTGACATGGGATGTCCTCACTGCAAACCACTCACCCACGCTTACCCGTCAAATTGAGCCTGTCTGTGGTGCCTCAGGAGCCGCTGGAGGCAAATGGAGCCTGGGAAATGCCAAAGGAGAAGTTAATAAGTGACACTTCCCTCGGAGATTGAGTGTCCTGAAGAGAGAGGTTGTGTTTGCACAAACGACCTCAGGGTATAATCTGTGTCTCTGAAAGAACTGCTGAATGCCAGCTTTTTAGCACAGAGCAGGTAGAGATGTCCTTCATATGTGCTTATTTTTTGTGTTAGGTGGGAAAATGTAACTTTAGCCTTCAGCCAGCTCTATACTACTGATCATGGATAAGCCCCATGTCGGTGCGTGTGGTTGCATGCAGCCAAGGCTTGTTAGAAGCCATCTCAACAGACAGCCATGTTTTGCTCTCTCCTAGAGTCACTGCACTAATTATTAACTAAGAAAAACAAACACAGAGTGGCAGGCAGAGGGAAGACAACAAGTAGATAAGAAGCAATTCTCCCAAAGCTTGAACCTCTCGAAAGCAGGGCTGCAGCTGGATCTCCCAACTCTTTCTTCTCCAGCCCATCACCCCCCTCCAGCTCTGCTGACTTGTTTTCTGCCCTCTCCCACCCTGGGGCTGGTTTTTTGGCACTTCACAAGGAATGACTTCAGGAGCTGACCCAGCTGAAAAATAATTAACTTATTTGCCAGGCTGGTTTTCAGCTAGAGCAGCTCCCTTAGCCCAGACAGTTTCTCATTTAAGAGAGGGGACAGGAGGGCAGAGGTGGAGTACAGCGTCCCTGTCCCCTCCCAGCTCCCACAGCCAAAGCCAGGTCCTGCAGAACTGCACCCCCAGACGCTCTTCTCCCAGGTGGGACCTTTCAGGACAGCTCACAAACAGAAATCAAAGGCTTTGTTCTTTGTCTCAATGTGAAAACAGGTTTCAGATGTGAAAGTGCACAAATCTCTGCACATGCTTGCTTCAGTGAGGGGTCTGCCTCAGCCCTTGTAGCAGACCTTGCTCAATACTTCATGTGCATGTCCTCAGAGGCAGCAAAATCTCTGTTTCCTGTGTGTGGGAGAACAAGGACACAGCGAGCCTGTGCTAAGGTGTAATCACAGTTGGCAGGAATGGAGCCGAGCTTTGTCAGTGCGTGGTGGTAGCTGTGACAGGTTACCAGTGCTTCTCTCCCAAATCTCTGAAAGGTATCACTGCTATTAACATTTCTGCAGTCTTGGGGCTCTGGCAACTGCACTAGGTGGCTGGGTGCAAAACCCCATGTGAAAAAACGTTGATGCCTGGGCAGTGAGAGTGTTTGAGAATATAAAGCTACCAAAACAATGTGTCCTGGATGATGCTGTGTAGCCAAGAGAATTTCATATGCAGAAACATGTCTGAATAATTATTATTTAGTCATTATTTCCTATAACAGAGTGAAACAATTCAGAAAAAAAAGACTTAAAAAAAAAATAATCAGCAAAAACTGCCCAGAACTAGGAGGAAAACACTTGTTTTGTGTGTGTAAGTGTATCACAGTACATAAAAGAAAGACAGCTCTTTGCCTCACCAGTGGTTTTTGTTCTCCCAGGCTTTTGTTAGGCCAGTTCTGATGCCAGCATGACCTCTTCGTTTTGAAGGAACATGTAGCAAGGCAAAGCCCCAAGGACATCTGGGGCTACTGCAACCTCAGTGACCCATGGCCCACATCTGAGGGCATGGTTTAGATAAAATGAGAATGCGTCTGGTCCCTTTCCCAAAACTGAAACCAGTTACCCTTCATGAGCTTGGAAAATAGTTGGAACTGCTGCTTTTAAAGCCATGCCTTATCCATTCCAGCAGCTGTGTTATGGGTTTCTCTTCTGACGTGTGTGTTCCCCTGGGCTCAGGTGCCTCTGGGCAGAAGCAGGAGGAGGTGGGCTCTGCAGCCTCCCCTTGGGGAGGGACTCGGTGTGCCTCACAGCCAAAACTGCACTGTGGCAATCTCGGCAGATATTTCAGTGTCTGTCCTATCAAGAAACCACCAGGAAAGGGAAGTGGGAGGATTATTTGGGGTCTACATCTGCTGTCTTTACTGTACATCCATGGAAATGGAACTGGGGCAAAGCAGAGCTCCAGAGCAGGACTGGTTGTCTTGTGCATGATATATTACCATGCCCCAGGGGCTCCTTTCACAGCTTTTCATTTAAATATTTATCCATGGATGCATCTGGATGTGACCCCCCGTCCTTTTGTGGCGGCTGGGTGAGGAAGAGAGCCTTTGGGAGCACCGGGAGTTTCACTTGGAGCTGTGCTGATGGCTTCGCATCAGCAGCACCTGGTTAAAAAATACTTGCCTTGCTATCCTGGGATCCCTCTGGACACAGTTATTCATCACTGGTGCTTCACAGAGCGCCTGTCAGGTTGTAGATTCAGCTCCTTAAGGCTGCTGAAATGAGGCATAAATCCGTGCAGTTGTTATCCACGGCTGTCGCTCCGCTTCTCCGCCGGCTCCGATGTCACGCTGACTTGCGGAGGGGGCAGGGACGGGGCAGGGCTGTCTGTGAGAATTCAGCAAGGAGCTGACAGTGCTGTGGTACGGTTTCTCTCTAATCTGGCAAATCCCATGGATGCTCAGGGTTTTCTTTTTTGTCAGAGCTGTGCCCTCTTTTCCAAGTGGAAAAGATGACATATTTAGGTCTGCTCTCCAGAAGGACACTTTAAACTACCTACAGCTGACTGCCGTCCCCAAGTTTTCACGTGCGGAGCCACCAGCAAAGGAGTCATGGGTCTAAGGTATGTGCTGGCCTCAGCTCCAAGACATGTCTGAGCAGAACTGTGGCCTGACCCCTGCAATGCTCATGCCTGGAGCAATAGGTAGAGTGATGAGAGATGCTTGTGCTCCAGCCTCTCCGTTTGAGGAGCGAGGCTGGCAGATGGCCTGGGGCTGTGATTAGAGCATGTAGCACACTCACTGTGCCTGCAAGTGACAGCAAAATGCTCCCTTCCCCCTCAGCCCAGGTTTTTCCTGGGTTTGTTCTTGCATTTCAGATTCTTCACTTTGGACCGGAGAGGCAGCGCTTCTCCCCAGGGGCTGCACACCCAGGCATGCCTCAGCTGCTGAAAGGCACAGCGTCTCACTCAGCAGATCCTGTGTGACGGTGCTGATGCTGCTACCTGGCCTCAGGTCCAGATGCAGCTGGGAGCCCTGGGATGGGAACGTGAGGTATGTCTGCACCCAACCCTGCAGACATACCTTGGGACCCCACATACCCGCAGCTCCCACTGCCTTCTCTGCTTGTGGAGATGAGTCCCTGAATGAGCCATCACAAGGCTTTAAATATAGCACAGTTTCCTGTGGGGATGAAACCCTCTGTAGCACAAAGAATTGGAGACCTTTCATGTGAATCTGAATCCAGACATTCCTCTGACGAACAAGCCCAGACTCCCACCGCCTCCACCAGTGACAGGGGCCTGATCCATGTTGTGAGGGTTTTCCCACTGCAGGAAATCCCACCTGGCCTGTGCACTTATTTTTAGTTGTGAGGGAAAACCTCTCTTTGCCTTCAGACAATTCACATCAGCGTGAATAAAAAGCTTTCCAGAAAGCCACCCAGCACCTGTTGCTTAGTGCTCAGCTGAAACACTAATCCCAAATTGGTGACTTTGCAACAGTCTCCATAGTGATTAATTGTAATTTGCAGACAGGGCACGGTGACTTGACAAGGGAAATTGGATGCAGAAGCAGGAAGACTTCTTGCTTATAAAAACTGTGGAGGGACACAATTGATTCAGTGCATCTGTTCTGTGTTATTTATTGCTGCTGCACCTCAGCCTTTCCTGCTCTGTGGAAGGGGTTTGGGCAGCACCACAGGGCTGATGCAGAGATGGAGAATTCCCTCTGTAACCCAAATGGATGAGTTAATGCAAGACAACACTTGCCTACCTGCTGCATCTGATTCAAACGTGTGAGTAGGGCAAAGACACAGGCTGACAGCACCAGAGGATGAAAATCCTTGTGGTGCTGGCAGCAGCATATGCTGAATGTTCATCCCAGGAGATGGGGATATGACATCCCCCTAATACCACTCGCTGCCTGTACTGTGGGACAGCTGGGCAAGCTTCTTATGAGAATGATTCAAGGATGGCCAACTGTTATGGGGAAGAAAAGATATCATAAGACAAGTTTCCTCCACTTATTTTGTCTTTGCAAACATCTTCTGGGAGACTCCAGCATCTATCTGCACACACGGACAACTCCTCTTCTTTCCAGCTCATCCTTTTCTCTGGGTATTTTCCGCTTCCCAGATCATGGTTGCCAGGAGAGCAGTTGCATGAATCGTGTCATCTTCAGGGAGTCCTGTCTCATCATTATTCAGTTACCTACAATCCTCTGATTGAAGATGCTAAATCCCTAGCTCACAGTCAGATTAGAAAAGTGAT